GGAGAGCAGCTAAATTTAAGCTGCAAGTGGAAATGTTTAACTTTTTAAACATGACAAGGAAGTTTATTCTATCAAATTAGGATATTTGTTCATATTCTGAATCCCAGAGTTTACACTATAAACTACAATATTTCAGTGCAGTTGCAGCCATAAATCTTCTTTCGTATGTTTATTCCAGCTTTGCATGTTTTGAAAGTGAAATTGTGGCTAATTTTTCATTCCTAACAAGCGTAATCTCAATAACAATGGTTTGAAAGAATTGATCAGGAAAGGAAATCTCGCCTAAGCACTCGTCAGTCTAGCATACAATCATGCTTTGATTTAAAAGCCAGGCCGATATTTTCAGTTGATATTGGTGGGATTTTCTTTCCAAAACACAATCTCTTCAGCTCTTTTCAGACAAGAGCCGATCATCCGGTGTGATGTCACTGGTTTTGTAGACCCACCCAAAGCTTTCCGTTGTTAAGGCTGTTGCTACGTTGCATTCTTGTATTTGGCTGAAAGATCTGATTACATTTTTGTGCTTTTCATAATAATAACTGTCCAGTATTCACTGTAAAAAAAAAAAAATGAAAGCTCCATTCCATTTATTTACTAACTTTTCATCCCATCTTTAAATAAACCAATCTACAGCAGCTATAAGTTCTAGTCAATTCTCCCCAGACCCCCTATTAAAACAAAAAAAAACATCAAAATAAATGCAAGCACTGCTTCAATGTAAGAACCAATTAAATGATCTATTTATGTATAATATCAATTGCACTTGGAAGGCAGAGACCGAGAATAGCATTGCTTTAACAAGCATTAGTGTTAACATTGACGTTTACTCCGATCTATCAACTTAGCAGCCGTATCCAAACACCTTAGCAGCTTTAGTTTCTGCCTCATACTCTGAGTGGTTTTGACTCTTATTACTCTTGGACACCATTTAATTTGTGTGCATTTTTTTCACACTTGATAAAGGACATTTCTGTATTATTTCCACACTTCATGGTGAGATGCTACGTCCTTGGTTACGCTCTGTGAATATGTGCAGTATCGTACCGCTGTTGTTTAAACAAAGGGCTAAATTTAAACAAAGGGCTTTATTTATTAACAAACTGAGCAAAAACAAAGTGTAAAATGGAAAAATTATAAATAATAATCCAGCTGGATGCGGTGATCCATCAAAAACAAAAACAAAATGACTATGCCTCTTTAAGTGCTTGTTTTTGTTTGAATCGGAATTTGAGAAATATTTATTATTGTGTTATTTGAATCATGTAAATAAAGGAAGATAATCCCTTTTAAATCATCCCCCAAATATTGGGAATTGGTTTGACTAATGTCAAAATAATAAGTAACTCTAACCAGCTAAAAAAAAGGATTTTCAAAGCACAGCCTCATGGCTCGCCATGGAGAGGATGTGTTCAAGGTTATATGTTATTTTACTCCTCACTTTGGATTTTGGTCCCTTCAGATGAGAGCCCCTTCTTCCTCAGGACTGTTGTGTCTCCAAGATGATGAGTGGGAAACTGCAAACCCTTTCTCTTTTTCCTTTCCACTAGATTTTGAGACTGAAGCTTGTTAGCAGATTGTCTGACCTGAGGTGTGGATCTCTGTATCTCATCTTGAAATAGCATGTGACACTTGGCTGCCTGGTTCAGCGGGAGGTTTCTTCCTATTAAAAGGGAGTTTTTCTTCTCCACTGTCGCTACAAGCATGCTTAGTTTGAGGTATTATCTTCGAGTCAATGAGTCGATGCAATCAACTGGTTTTCCTTAGATAACTTTTAATCAATCTGACTGTATGATCTGGTGAATTCTAAAGTGCCTCGAGATGACATGTGTTGTAAAACTATAGAAATAATTGAATGGAACTGAATTTTCTGATCAGTGGTTACTTTTTCCAGCCGACAACCTTCAGAGTGCAGCTCTCAGTACCAGATTAAAGAGGGTGCTGCTCATGTCTGCACTGACTTTTTAAGGAATATAGTTTTTTTAATCAGAGTATTAGTATATATAGTTTTTTATTATTGAAAAATTCAATGACTTTTAACTATGTATATATTTCTATGTTTTGTTGGTCTACCACAAAAATATATATATATATATATTGGATTGCTTTGCTCCATAACACCAGAGCAAAGAATGGAGGCATGAAGCCTGTCTCAATCTTCTATTTATCCATCGCCTGTTTGACAATCCCAATACGCAGTGTTCCAACAATAAGCCTCAGATAGGAGGGAAAAGAAGAGAGAATAATACTCAAGTGCTACGAAGGGAATCTGTTTTTTATCAACGCAACGCTCCAGAGGACATCCACAGCAACATTCCCAATGGCTCCAGACTGTCAAGTCAATGAGAACGAAAAATACAATTTTTATCTCTGTCTTACAGCTGCCCCTATTGACCCTCTGTTTGGCAGAGAAACATGAAAAATACACACCGATAAGAAAGAGGGCCCATAAGAGCAGGATGAATTCTAATCACTTCCGAACATGTGTTGCTGCGATACTGTCATGTTCCCTGGGAAGCGGTAGTTAGTGTTACAGCACAATCCCGGTCGGACTCCACAGGAATTCCCATATAAATATGACAGCGTTGTTTATGCATGAGCTCCCGCCTTTATGCCAGGAGGTGAATATATGCAACACCAGTGCTTCGACAACACCTGGAGTTTTTCCAGATACCGTTAGACATGAGCTATCCGTTTGTATAAAGCTGTCACTTTCCAAATTGTGTTTGTTTCCTGCTTGTCTCTGATGCTTTTCTTTCAGTACTTGTCTGTATTTCTGGGACAGTAGATCTGTCTACTTTAATGTCACAAAGCGGAGAGAGCAGAGAAGCTGTTTTCATCTTCATTCTTAACACCAAAAGCCAAATTGCAGCATCACTCCTATGATCCGTTATCCCTTATTTAATCGCCGGCGTCAGTAGCAGCACCAGAGAATGAGGAGTTAGGGGGGCCAAGGAGGGTCCAATGTTTAAACATGTTAGTAATATAAATATGACGTAATAACCAATCTCAAGCTATAATAGATTGGTATATTCAATATAAAAAAAGAAGCCAAAAATAAGCTTAAACAAATCTTAGAAAAGCTTATTTTAACAGCATCATCCTCCATCTTTACTAGATCCTCATACTTTATCCTGTTATAGTTATTATTTAAATTATTGATACTGCATAGATAAAATGTTATATATGTGTTTTATTTTGAATAACGTTGTATTTTCCATTTATTAGTATCAAGCTTTTAGCTAGGAATGTTTCATAGGGTGTACACCTTGGTGTATAACATCTTTAGGCTTTGTACAGAATAGGGGGGTCCAGGAAATGTTGAAATTCAGACTATCTGAAATGCTATTTCCTGCATTTTGAGGTGGAATGTAGCCAACTTTCTGTCTTAGTTACAACACTACTTTTGTCCTGATTACGGGAAGTATGTGTGCTTCACTAGAGGTGGAAATTTCATAAGAAAGACATGAGATAATTTTTAGGTTCAATATTATGTTTCATAGGATAATTTAAACAATCAGAAAATGTTATGCTACGTTCACACCATGATATGAGCATCAAGAAAGCGCCTGCTGCTTAATTTTTTATGCTTATACAAGTTGTGTAAAGTGTGTCCAGATGTGCCTGATGCTTCTGCGGCTCCTGTGTTCAACGGCAGAGGGGAGCTTGGCTATATTTGCTGTGATTAGTGGATAAAAAAGGGGTTTTAATGTGTTTTTTAACTGAGAAAGTCCACCTCAAAACATTGTCTGTGCAGTAAGTTCATCAACATTACGATCCTGCTCAGGTGTCATGAAAGATAAAAAGAAAAAGTAAAACAAAATAAAGTAAAACAAAGGGAGCCAGACATGATATGAAAACCATTCAGCTGTTTATGTTAAAAGGGATTTTTTTGTCATGATTTTCTTTAGAGATCTGACCCACATGCAGTAAACCACTCAGAGAACCAGGGTAAAAGTTTGAACAGGTTTATTGATAAGGTCAGCGGGGGTTGGATTCAGGAAACTCTGTGTTCTGGTGAACCGGAACTGGAAGAGGCAAGGGAAGTATCAGCGGTTAGTTCAGGATCCGTGGAAACTTTAAGTGAAGGTTAGAGAGACAGAGAAAACGGGATTCACGTTGATTGAGAAGAGCTTTTCTCCCAGAATCCAGTTAATGTGGATTTAGGTAGAGACTCGTTGGAGGGAGGACAGGTTAAGACTTGGTTGGATCCTGAGGAGCTATTGAGCGGACTATCACTTGGGAATCCAGAAGGACTTGAACGGAACTTATGGAGGTTAATCCCCTGCTGAGTGTGAGACTCAAAACAATCCTTCCAGGGGAAGAAGGCCAAACATCCAGCTTGCAGGAAGGCTTCCTGCCAAAAAGACAAAGACAAGGTTAGGCGCAGTGAAAACAAAGACTAAGTTAGTCTCAGCTAAACTCAGCTTGGCTAGAGTACCCAAAACTGGCAAACACTCTGGTGTCGAGGTAGTGACAGTCCACCGCTCAAATAGTCTCCAGTAATGAGCCAACCAGCCACAGGTGTGTGGGAGGACCAACGAGAACAGGGTGCCACCTGGTGGTGGAAGGAGAGAACAACACAAAAACACAACCCAAACAAACTGGAGTCCTTACAGTTTTCTCTCCACTGTCACTACATCCTTGAGATTTCAGAGTCCTCACAATGAGCTGTGTTTCCTTAGATGGAAATATTTTTAAGAATATAATTGTTACCTGTATAACTAAATTAAACAACACTTTTCTAATTGCATTTTTTCTCTGTGTGAGTCCTTCCAGGTTGCAATTATTAATATGTGATTTTTTGTCTGTGGGAAATTAAGAAAAAAAACGTTTTGCAATCCTTACTTACCCGTATTTATTTATTCATTTATTTATTTATTCAGATTTAATGTCAGACAGATGTACATATCATATATAAATATCTGGTTTGGTTCTCATTGAAATCGTTCAGTTGCTCATGAAGTCGGCTTCCTTTCAATCAAGGCGGTCTAATCGGGGCAGGAATGCTGACAGAAGAACCAGCTGACTCTGACGTGATGTTCATCTCCTCCAAAGGCTCAATCAGTCACCTTGGCGACAGGAAGCAGAGAGAAACAGGAAGCAAGATGGCAGCGGAGGCGAATGACAGAAATGGGTAAGTTGACACTGTCTGGTTGGGATGCCCTCCTCCTGCTCCTCTTCTCTTAGTTACAGCTGTGTCTGCGCCCTTCCCCTTTTTGCTATCTGCATCTGATTCTTTCACTTACTGCTTTAAAACGGTGTAATTATGATTATATGAATCTATTTGTCCTTCCATTAGGAAAGGGAGTATGTCTCGAAAGGCATGCCAAGAAAAACAAGAGTGCATAATGAGAGGAGAGACCATTAAAACAGCTCAAGGCTCTGAATATGATAAATTATACACAGCTTGAAAGACATACTTAAATTCTGCTTGGTGCCCTTCGTTGTGGCCAACACACTTAGGCCCATAATGCATGGTTAATGGGACGACTGGGAATATTGCAAGAGGAAGAAGAGGGGCCTGAAAAAAGAGCCAAATTTGTGCTTTTTCTCTTGCAGAGGTCATCAGCACAGGGTTCATTTATCACGGCAAAAAATGTCAATTTGCACCACTTCGTTCACTCCTGGAGGATTGCTGGGTCCTCTCGCGAAATTGTTCAAAGCAGAACAAATGAAGAAAAATGAGACTCTTATGTCAAATATTATCAGGTGCTTTACCTTAGCACAAGATTTTTGGTTTGGAAGAAAAATGCACCTATTCTGGATCATACAGTATTGGATGCACCTGAGTTTGTGTGAGTCCAATTCAATATCTCATTACTTTTGGTGTGAATAGGTTGAATGGAGACGATGGTCGGTGTGTCTTGACGATACGCCAGAGTACATACAATAAAAGGCCAGTGCTTCTGTCTGATATTAAGTATTGATTCGGTAAGATTGATCTAAACAGAGGCCCTATTAAATGAACACTGAAAGAGAATCAGCGAAGCACATTGTCTCAAAAAAAAGGTCCACCGAAGATGAGGTGGGGGGAAAAAATAAGAGAGTGAGAACCAACAGTAGATACCTGCGAATGCGCCTGAGGCTAAAAAGATGGAAATTAAAGAGGAAGACCAAAGAGGAGGGAGAGAACGAGGCGTTGGGAGGGATGCTTCACACTCAGGGTGACAGTAATTGGAAGAGCTGGTGCTGGAAGCTCTACATGAATTCCCATACATCTGCAGAGCTGGATGGTGGAAGCAGTCGCACGGTGGCGAGATGTCAGGAATGTTTGTTTTGGTGTCAATTTCTGCCCTTCTCTCTTGGCTTTCCGTGTGAACAAGAACGGGAATAGAGAAAAGGTGGAGTAAGGACACAAAATGAAATCTTGGTAAAAAATCTCCTGATTTGTCAGTTTTTACATTTTTTTGCAAACATTTTTACAGCCCTTGATAATTAAGGCATCTTGTTAAAACCTTTATACTTGCATTTGACATCTCATTTTTTGGGATTTTATTTTTTTAAAAAGCAATTTAAATACAGTACGTGTAAAGAATAAGGAGAAAGAGAAAGGAAGCTGTTTTCTCTGATATCTTCAATAAAATCTAAAGCACTTACTTTTAGAAGACAACCAAGCACTGATCAGTCAGTTTAACCTAGAAATGAATTTCACTTGTTTAATGATGTCTATTTTATGACTATTTTATTTGGATTTTATTCATTTTATTTAATTAATTCAGGGTTGTTGTTTTTTTTAGCTGTTGGCTGGTTTGCCAGGAAGGAACATTTCACCAATCTTTATAAAAAGAACTTCAACTTAGATCACAGCTTTGTACAATCAAAGCAATGTTTCAGCAGTAAAGGAAGCAACCAGCATCGATAGACCAGCAGGAGGAACAGAACAAGCAGTGGTTTAGGAGGACCTGAAGCAGCACAACACTCCATCAAAATCTAATAGTTTGACTGGTTTCTTGCTCTTTATCAAGGAAAAGTGCTGCACTGTGTGCTCAGACGTTGCACATCTGTTGCAAACACTTTGCCTGTTTACATCTTTTTGCAGGCTTTTAAGACTTTTGAATTAGACTCAAAAGCTACATAATACACATTATTGAACTTTTTTATTTTATACACCAGTAACTCACTCTGGTTGCATACGAAATGTATGTCCTGCTGGTATAATATTTGGTAATCTTTCTGTTTTACACTTGTTTTTGCTTAGTGAATAAATCCATTTATGTATATTTACAAAAGCAATTTAGGTACAATACTGTGCATGTGTGCAGGGGGTAAACAAGGAAGCAGCTAATGACTGGTCAGACTGGTCAGAACTTCAAAACAAAGTTTGGAAACAGTGTCTTCTAAAACCTAAAACAATGACAAAAAGTGAGAGATCCAATTTGAAAAAGCTGCAGTAAGTAAACACTCCTTATCATTACTGTGATAACACTAATATTGATGCTGTTCTTAATCTCTACAGTCTTAAAGGAGAAGTTCGGTTTTTTACACTTTAAGCCCATTTTCTGTAGTGTCCAGGATGAAATCGAATGATCGACACCAAAAGTTTGACAATTGCTCCTGTCTCTGCTTTTTGGCTCATTTAGAATCACCCCCTGGCTGCTTTAGAATGGCTTGCATAGAGCATGTCCGATAATGTCCTTAAAACAACCTTAAACGTTCTTTTTTTAAAATATGCTACTCACCGTGTCGTCAGCGCTGTTCAATGACGTTCCCAAAAAAGTTTCGTAAAGAAAAAACGTTCCTGTAGTGTTTTATTTAGCATTTTGTAAATCCCATTGAGTTCTGTTGGAATAGTCAATATTCCGCTGCCACCGGAAACGGAAATGGGGCCTGTTTACACAGTTGTAGTCTTTTCGCTTCACTCTGTGTACTCCGACGTCGAGGTGCTAACGTCTCTGTTAAACACTTTAAAAAAACTCTGAAAATGGAATACGAAAGGTGGATTCTTGATTCTCGACGTCGTATAATGTTGTTTAAATGCAAACAACATTATACATATATTGATTGGTAGATTGGCTAATACCCAGCTGCTGTTTTACAGCGAGGCCTTGCAGGACCGTCAGTCTCTCTATTTAGTGGATGCCATCTGGTTTTCTGATAAATCTGTGGTACTGCCAGTACAGTAGATGGCGTCACATCCGTTTATGCCCACTCCTCATGCCCTGAGCTGGAATTCTATTTAAGCTCAATAGGAATGGGAGTGCACAGACTTTTTGAAGGGGAGGGAAAAAAAGGAAGGGCAGAAAGGAAAAAGAGGGCACATATAGCAGGTCCTAACCCTTTAGAGGGAACCTTTAGCATGTGTTCTGGCTCCCGAGAGGCAACTTTAGCATAAGTAATTCAGCAATTGGGCAATAAAGGGGGCACCCCCCACCCCATACCAAACACACACACACCTACACACGCATGTTTGTCCTGCTATATGTAGTGAGGACCATGTGTTGAATTCCATCGACTGTCACAGATTTTCAGTCCTTTTCAACCCTTTCTTTGCCCTAACCCTAAAACTAACTCTAAACCTAACCCGTTTTAATGCATAGCTCACCCCAACCCGAACCCAATTGACAAAACCTAACCATTAGCCAAATACCATTTGAGGACATGCAAAATGTTTTCACTTTGCAACAAGTGGTCCTCATTGTGATGGTGAAATTTTCAACGAGGACTGCTGGTCTCCTCAATATCTACTTTGCTGCTGATTCCCAATGCCTTCCTGCTCCAACAGCTAATTCACATAAGTGAATTTCCTCTTCTGCATGCCATCAAGTTTGGCAAAGACTTGGTGATGAGCCTTTCTTTGATTCAGCTGTGTTGGAGCAGGGATGCATCTAAGACCTTCAGGATCTTGAGAACCAGTGTTGGAGACCCCTGATCTAATCACTATCAGGTTTATATAAACTTATTTTATCATGATCAAATGGTTTTTGGACTTTATTAATGCACATAATGCACATATGTTTACTCTGGAGAGATCTACAGCTGAGGTGAAAAAACAACTTTTTTTGTTTAAAAATGTGGACTTTATAGCTGAATGAAGTCAAGAACATCACTTTTGAACGAAAAACCAAAAAAGTCCACAAACCGTGTTAGGGCATTGTGGAAGAGGGTGCTCTGCTCAGACGAGAACAACACTGAATCTCTCTGCAAATTGCTGTCTGGCAGCGAACTAACTCTGGATTTAGCATGTATAACACATCCCCATAGTGAAACATGTTGCTAGTAGCATCAGTATGTAGGGCTGCCTCTCAGCAGCAGGGATAGCAAAGCTGGTCAGAGTAGATTTGAAGATGGAAAAATACAGGATAATCCTTAATAGAAAGAATGTAAAAGTTTTGCCTTCCAACATAACGGCAATACTTGAAACACTTTATAATCAGAGAGCTACAATGATATTGATATTGTGGAGATCAGAACGTATTTCTGAACTCCTTATAAGACTTACTATTTCAAATCAGACTGATCTGAGCAAACCTGCATATGAAATAGCTTAATATGAGGCAAGCTGATTGTATAAAGACAGCAAAGACATGGAATGTGAGTCGGTGGCTAAGGCTGACAGCTGAGGTGTGCATGAACCCTGCATGAACTACAACAAAACTGATGTTTGTCTTTTTGGACAACAGGATGGAATCTTACACATATGCAGCATTAAAACAAACAAAATAAAAATAGTTTGCTTTGTTACCATAGCAATGACCTTTGTGAATGCCCTTACAATCAGACCATAATGTTATGGGTCTGCTTCAGAAATGTAGGTGCCTGTAAATATTAGCTACATATCCTCGATGCCCAATCATCATCCAGCATTCACCTTAAAAGCAACTCCAAATCATCTCTCGGCCTGCTCTTCAACAAGCGCAAGAACCGTCGCTCCTATGTCGGACTTTGATTCAGACAACCCACCTCCATCCCCTTCTCCACCATTGTAGTAAGCTCATCCGACTCCTCCTCGATGCTCCTTCAACCTCACCCCCAGCATGTAGTCCCTCCAGACTTTCATGGAGTTCCCTGTCACTTTAAACGGTCCGGCAGAAGACCGCCACGTTGAGCCTGGTTCTGCCAGAGATTTCTTCCCAAAGGGGAGTTTTTTCTCTCCACAGTCACTTCATGCTTGCTCTTCATGGACAGTTCATGGAC